GTTATTGAGGTACAGGTGGTATTTGGTTACATGCGCAAGCTCTTCAGCAGTGATTTGTGAGATCCTGGTGCATCCATCATTCGAGCAGTATACACTGCACAATACTTACAGTCTTTTATCCCTCACCCCCACCCCCACTCTTTCCCTGAAGTCCTCAAAATCCATTGTATCATTCTTATGCCTTTGCATTCTCGTAGCTTAGCCCCCACACATCATTGACAACATACCATGTTTGGTTTTCCATTCCTGATTTACTTCACTTAGAATAATAGTCTCCAATCTCATCCAGACCATTGCAAATGCTGTTAATTCATCCCTTTCTATGGCTGAGTGGTATTCCATCATATACCACAGTTTCTTTATCCTCTTGTTGATTGATGGGCCTTTGGGTTGGTTCCATGATTTTGCAATTGTGAATTGTGTTGCTATAAACATGCATGTGCAAGTATCTTTTTCAAATAATGACTTGGGATTGCTGGATCAAATGGTAGTTCTACTTTTAGTTCTTCAAGGAATCTCTATACTGTTTTCTACAGTGGCTGTACTATTTGACATTCCCACTAGCAGTAGGAAGTGTTCCCTGATCACTGCACCCATGCCAACATCTACTGTTTTGTTTTTTTTTTTAAATTTTTTTGATTATGGCTATTCTTGCAGGAGTAAGGTGGTATTGCATTGTGGTTTTTATTTGCATTTCCCTGATCATTAGTGATTTTGAGCATTTCTTTTCATTTTTGGTCATTTGTGTATCTTCTTTTGAGAATTGTCTATGTCTTTGGCTTGCTTTTTGATGGGATTGTTTGGTTTTTTTCTTACTGATTTGTTTGAGTTTGTTATAGATTCTGGATAGTACTCCTTTGTCAGATGTATAGATTGTGAAGATTTTCTCCCACTCTGTGGGTTGTCTGTTTACTCTGCTGACTGCTCCTTTTGCCATGCAAAACCTCTTTAGTTTAATTAGGTCCCAGAGAGTTATCTTTGTTTTTATTACATTTGCTTTTGGGGGATGACACTAAATTTGTAGACTGCTTTTAGCAGTGTGATCATTTTCACCATATTGAGTCTATCCATCCTTGAGCCTGGGATGTGTTTTCACTTGTTTGTGTCATCTATTATTTCTTTCAGCAGTGTTTGAAAACCCTAAGGACTCCTCCAGAGAGCTCCTAGAACTTATAAAAGAACTCAGCAAAGTTTCCAGATACAAGATTAATGTACACAACTCAGTGGCTCTCCTATACACCAACAGTGACCAAGTGGAGACTCAAATCAAGAACTCAACCCTTTTTACAATAGCTGCAAAAAAGTTCTTAGGAATATACCTAACAAAGGAGTCAAAAGACCTCTACAAGGAAAACTACAAAACACTGCTGAAAGAAATCATAGATGACACTTTAAAAGATAAAGTACATCAGCATTTCTACTGAGAATTACAGGGTTTTTACTTAACCTCATATCTTTTTCCTGCAAATCTCTTTTCTTCTTGGCCAAAAATAACAGTTCCGGGGTGTAATTACTCATTTTATTTATTACATAATGCGTGCACAACAGTCTGGAATAATATTGCCAATACTAAAGACAACAATATAGTTATTGCAAACAAACTTGACAGGTTTTTGAAAAATCATTTTGGTCTTAGGATAGTTACTTTCTCTGAAGTTATGCTCAGTTATATTCCATTGTGCAGTGGTGGTTTTAGTGATTTTGAGAGATTTAAAAAATTTAATATTTTTATAAATATGTAAAATATTTACACAGGTGCAAAGTCAAAGCTACAAAAAAAGATAAATTCAAAAAAATAGCTAGTGTCTATTTCTATCTTTTCTGTTCTAATCCCTTCACCCTCTATGAGTCAACTTCTAAAAAGCAAATACGGGCCAGGTGCTGTGGCTCCTGCCTGTAATCCCAGCACTTAGGGAGGCTGAATGGGATGGATCATGAGGTCAGGAATCTGAGACCAGCCTGGCCAACATGGTGAAACCCCATCTCTACTAAAAATACAAAAATTAGCTGGGCGTAGTGGTGGGTGCCTGTAATCTCAACTATTTGGGAGGCTGAGGCAGAGAATTGCTTGAACCCGGAAGGTGGAGGTTGCAGTGAGCCGAGATCGCTCCACTGCACTCCAGCCTGGGAGACAGAGCGAGACTCCATCTCAAAAACAAAATGAAACAAAACAAAAACCCACAAATATGGTTTATTCTTCCATTATTTTTTCTTTGTTTTTCAGCTACATTAAGTTACAATGGCATATAATAAACTGCATATACTTAAAATGCAAATTTGATGTTTTGACAGAAACCCCTCTTTCCTTTTTTTTTTTTAAATCTCTTCTCTCTATTCTTCTATCATTTTTAAAGTGTAAGCAAATATACTTTTGATATTTATATCCTAGATTTTTCAGACATATTGTTGTAGAACATTGTACACATTATTCTCTACTGCTTTATTGTCTCTTAACAATATCTCTTGGAGATTAATTTGTAGCAGTGTATAGCGACACTTCTTATTCCTTTTCACAGCAGCTGCATAGTACTCCATCGTGAGAAGGCACCACAGTTTATTCACCAGTACCCTATTGATTGAAGGACACCTGGGTTGTATCCAGTGTTGTAGTTTTCAGTTGTTTTTTCCCAAATAGACCTGTTATAAATAATCTCGCACAACACCTTTCATATACTTTCCTATCTTTGAGATATTTTATGGAATTGGGATAGCTGAGTCAAAGAATAACGCTGCTAGTTATTGCCAAATCCTCACCAGAAAATATGAGCATGCCTATTTTCACATCATCTCCCTCCCAGAGAATGCTGTCAGATTTTGAATTTTTGACAATCTAACAGGTGAGAAGGGCCATACCATATGATTTCATTTCTTTTATTATGCATGAGATTGAGTATATTTATATGGTGATAAAATGTTTGCATTTTAAATTTCCCGTTAGGCTGTTGGTCTGTTTTCTAATCTATTTTTAGAAGTCATTTTTCTTTTTCTTCTCGTTTTTTAAGACAGAGTCTCACTCTGTCACCCAGGCTGAAGTGCAGTGGTACAATTTCGGCTCGCTGCAACCTCTTCCTCCTGGGTTCAAGCGAGTCTCCTGCCCCAGCTTCCCAAGTAGCTGGGCAGATGCATGCCACCTCGCCAGCTAATTTTGTTTTGTGGAGATGGGGTTTCACCAAATTGACCAGGTTGGTCTCGAACTCCTATGCTCAAGCAATCCTCCTGCCTTGGCCTCCCAAAATGTTGGGATTACAGGTGTGATCCACCGTGCCCAGTCTCAGAAGTCTTTTATATACTATTAACCCTTTGTCTGTGATATAAATTGAGAGTCTTTTTTCATATTTGGTCATTTGCGTTTTTACTTTGTTTATGATGGTTTCTTACCATGCATCTTTAAAATAAAAATTAAGTTCTGGGATACATATGCAGAATGTGCAGGTTTGTTGCATAGTTATACATATGCCATGGTGGCTTGCCACACCCATCAACCCATCATCTAGGTTTTAAGCCCCACGTGCATTAGGCATTTGTCCCAATGCTCTCCTTCCCCTTGTCCTCGAGGCTCTGGTGTGTGATGTTCCCCTCCCTGTGTCCATGTGTTTTCATTGTTCAGCTCCCACTTATGAGTGAGAACATACCATGCATATTTTCAATTACAAATAATTGTTTTTACATATCAGGAGGGATTTAATTGCAAAATGTTTATGTGCAAAATATTCCTTGAACACTCTAGGAGAGACATACTTTCCCTATTATACACCATGTGACTTCAATCTATCTAGGCCTCAAGTATCTTTGATGTGAAGAATTCAAAAAATGTGTGTCTACCTCATAGAATCCTTGTGAGGTATAAACAAGATAACAATTATAGAGGACTCAGAAAATTCCTGACACATAGTAAGCACTCAACAAATTATAAATATTAGTATTGCTTCATCTTTCATTGGAAGTGTACAGATTAAATTATACTTGTTATCTTGTTCACTAATCACACAATTCTCTAAATAGTTGTTAAACTCTTTTCTATACATGTTCTTATTTGTCTTGTTTAAATGTCTATAGGACAAAAATTAAAACTTGATTCGTTATTTCTCTGTGTATCTAGCAAAATATCTCCAACATATATTGTGAGAGAAAACAGCTTTCGAGTATGAGAAAATATACTATCAATAACACTTCAGTTAAACACATTCATTAGGTATTGGCTTACCAACAAAATAGAACAAAAATATTGACTATGATCCACATCTCTGAAGAACATGCCAATAATAATTTATAAAGAGACCCATCATGCCAATGTGTTCTTACTTTAAAAAGCAGTGAATCATTGCATTATATCTGTTTCAAGCTGAATAGATTCAATAACAAAACACACAGGAATTTAAGTGGGATCTTTTATATCACTGGCCAGCCACAAAATACAAAGGAATCACAGTGCTACTCATTATACACACCTCCCATCACCCCCAAAAGATGAATCTTTCATCCCATTTTCCTGCCAGCATTCCATGTAATTTATGTTTAACCTCTTTGAGAGCAGAGAAGATTCAGTTATCATAAAATCTATTCTCAACCTGTTATCCTGGAGTCAAATAAATAAAGAATTAACACTCATGAAATTGAATCACACAAAGTCATGTCTACACATGCGAAGACACATGAGGTGAAAGCTGATTCACTTAGCGTAACCAAATTGGATAGCTCATAATACAACAGGAAAAGGAAATCGTGCCTTTCCTATTTATAGAAACATTTACCAGATAAGCACAACTATCTAATTTACTGAAAAAAAGAACTGATGCTCTATTAGAAATATGTAAACAACAAGATTATTTACATGGTCACCGTAGCCCTCAGCAGGGTTTAAAAAGCAAAAGAGAGCGCAAGGAGAGATAAAACTCAGAACACTCACTCTCCTGGAAATCCATCCAGAACCTCCACCCTCTGACACCATGGTCAACTCCTGTTGTAGCTCTGTCTGCTCTGACCAGGGCTGTGGCCTGGAGAACTGCTGCCGTCCCAGCTGCTGTCAGACCACCTGCTGCAGGACCACCTGCTACCGCCCCAGCTGCTGCATCTCCAGTTGCTGCCGGCCCAGCTGCTGTGTGCCCAGCTGCTGCAGACCCCAGTGCTGTCAGTCTGTGTGCTGCCAGCCCACCTGCTGCCGCCCCAGCTGCTGCATCTCCAGCTGCTGCCGCCCCTCTTGCTGGGAATCCAGCTGCTGTCACCCCTCTTGCTGGAAATCCAGCTGCTGCCGCCCATGCTGCTGCCTGCGTCCAGTCTGTGGCCAAGTCTCCTGCCACACCACTTGCTATCGTCCAACCTGTGTCATCTCCACCTGCCCCCACCCCATGCCCTGTGCCTCCTCTTGCTGCTAAATCTTTGCTTTGAACACACCACTTCCTTATCACCTCCTTTCCTACAGATGAAGGCTCTGCTTTAAAACATGTGGAGTGCTCAAGGGAATGGATCTGTGTACCATAAGCAAACCTCATCCTTAGAAATTCTGTATTTGCGCTCTACCTTTTGTCCAAACTCCCTGCCTTCCAAATGAATTCATTGAGAGTCTCCTAATAAATCTACAAATTTCTCTCCAACATCCCCCCACCTCTTTGACTTCAGGATATTTATTCATCATGCCTAAAGAATTCGAAGATTGCCTCCATCATTTGTAGGGCCACAGATCTTAACGCCCCCGACCTCGAAGTCCGGGGAAGTCTCTTAAAGTCTTTTGCAAAGATTTTTGTACCTTGTTGTTTCCATGTACCAAAATAAACCTTCATTCTATTGGCACTAAAAATTGAATACGATTGCTATTCCATTTCTTACAAAGGTTTTATACTTGGGTTCTGGGTGATTACGCTTTATCCACACCTGTAGGGCAGACAGCACACAGGAGCCAACCTACCAACAGAGGTCAACTGACATCAATCACTGCCTAGAATTTCTAGAAAAGTCTTTTCAGGCTTAGGCAAATCAACTAGTCATTTTGTAGGCTTTAGATAAAAAGAGTGAACCTGAAGTCATGAAATATACATGAATATAACAACGGGGGAACGTTTTGGAAAGATTGAATACAATTCATTATCTTTAAAAAAATAATTTCAACTTTTATTTTAGAATTAAAGAGTACATATTCATATTTGTTACATGTTATGTGAGGCTGAGGTTTGGGGGACAAATGATTCTGTCGCCAGGTAGTGAGCAATGGGCCATTCTTAGCCCTTCCTCTCTCCCTCTCTCCCCAATCATTCCCATCTTTGTGTCCATGTGTACCCAACGTTTACCTACCATTTGCAAGTGAGAACATGCAATATTTGGTTTTCTGTTCCTGGAATAATTTGCTTCGGATACTGTCCTCCAGCCACATCCATGTTGCTGCAAAAGACATAATTTTATTCCTTTTTACGGCTGTGTAGTATTCCACGGTGTAAAAGTGTCACATGTTTTTTATCCAATGCACTGTTGATGGGCACCTAGACTGATTCCATATCTTTACTATTGTGAACAGTGCTGTGATCTTTTAAACTACCATCTTTCAGTTTCTTCCTTCCTTCCCCTCTCTTCCCTTCTCCTCCCTTCCCCTCCTCTCCATTTCCCTTCACTCCCCCTCCCCTCAATTCCCCTCCCCTTTCCTCCTCTCCCTTCTTCTCCCCTCCCCTCCTCTCCCTCCCCTTCCTCTCCCTTCCCCCCACCTTCCATCCTCTCCCTTACCTTCCCCTCCCTTCCCCTGCCTTCCCCTCCTCAGTGCTAATCCCAAGAGCTTTAATAAACCTCCTGCATGTTGCTCTCCATCTCAGTGCCTGCTTCCTGGGGAACAAAGGCTGTCCTAGTAAGTTTGAGAGCTGAAATGACAGACTGAAATGTACTTTTAATATTTTAGTTCATGAAAGAAACAAGAAGGAAGACACCATAGCAGAAAAAATATTTAACAGACTGTAGAAAAATTATAAATTTTATATAAATCACATATATTATTTTCTGAGGATTTTTATATCATTTATACACAAATATATGTGCTTTAAACATTTCGATGACAGAAAACAATGTGACCAAAGGTAGGTTTCCCATCACGGTGTTTGCCAATCCCATTCAAGACCTAATGTTACAAATTGAGATACATCCCCATTAAATGCATTTGTACCACATGTATGTATTTACGTGAAAACCTGGCTTTGGTTGCACATCTCTTGTTCTGACATTTATTCAAACATTATTTTATGTCTTCCAGAAAATGTTAACACTTTTCTTCACATGGGCTTGTCAGATTTTTTTTAAATATTTTTCTATTTACTCTTGAGAATTGTGAGTACATTTTTTCCCATGACATTTTAGAGAGAATGACTGCTAGTGTATAAAAGTCTATAGATTAGTATAAATTCATATTTTATCTAGTCTCATGATTAATACTAATGCCCAGCTGACCCTCCAGGTGTGCAATCTTGGTGGCCAAGTGCCTCCAGCCTCAGGCCTGTCCCCAGGGTTTGTCCCCAGATGCCCACAGTGGGGACCTACCATTATTAGCACAAACATTCTTGGGATTTTCTAAATTTCCTGTCTTACTTTCCCCATTTTCTCACTTGTGCTTCCTGGATCCATCACCCAAATAAATTACGTGCACTGAAGTTTTTTCCCCAAGGTTTGCTTTGGGTAGAATTCAAGCTAAGACAATAGATGTTCAGCAAACATTTTTGACTGACTGGTATCAAATGGGCAATAATAGTTACACCAATCAATAAAAGTAAAAGTGGGAAGTCAGGAGGTGAAGGAGAACCAGTGTTACCATTTGGTGTCGACCTGCTTCCTGTCTTTTTTCCTGTGTGAATACAGGCATGAGTGTTAAACACTGCATCCCTGGTTATTTGTAAACAAGTCTCATTCTATAAATTGATTCTTAACTTCCACAACTTGCCACATGTTATTTATCAGGTGACATGTTACCTACCACATAAATAAGTGTAAATTTCCTGAAATGAAACTATGATCTCTTTGTTTGGAATGTTTTTCCCTCTCTTATCCGGAAGTCAATTTTAAAGGATTTACACGCCTCTATGTCATCAAAACGCCTTCATTCACTCAACAAACATTTACCACGAGTGTGCTGTATGCTGACTATCACGGTAACAAGAATAAATGCCGTAGCCCATGGCTTCAGGATATTTGCATTGCACATGGAGGAATGACAGAAGTAAATTATTATAACAGGGTAGAATGTATCAAATTATGAGTGCAAGGCAGGAAATAATGATACATAAATGGGGTAGCTTATTAGGAAAAATATTATTGAGGAGGAAATATGTTAACTGGGTCTTGACACGTAAGTAGGAGTTTGCAGAGAGGACAAAAAAGATGAAATCTTCCAAGAAGATAAAACAGTTTCAGAAAGTTTAGCAAACTATTCTTTATGGCTTTCTTGGCTACAGTAAGACATATTACGCTTGCTTTCTCTTTAATCTTGGACCAGTTTTTGTTTGTTTAACTTTTTAATGCTTCTTTAGAGTATTCCACTAAAAGAGCAATACAAATGTACACTACTTCATAAGGTTGTATTAAAGAGTGAAAACGAAACATAAATATTAGGCACAAAGCCTGGTACATAGTCAATACTTCACAAGTAATATATATACACAGAAGGTGTATGGGACTTATCCACATACTATACAATTTTGTTTTAGTGGTTTAATGAAAATATTTGTAATTATTTTTATTTTTGCCAAACTCTGTTTCCTATGCGTGCGTCTCATTCAAGTACCTGCAAGAAAAAGATGAGGGTTTATCCATTCTACACCCGGAGTCCCTAGTAAAACATCTTTGATGCATGTTATTGAAGACTTAATAATTCTGAATATTGTTTARATATAACAATTACTTTTGTAAATGAAAAATCCATCATGCAAGTCCGATGATCAAAGATAAATSAGGCTGGGTGCGGTGGCTCACGCCTGTGATGCCAGCACTTTGGGAGGCCGAGGTAGGCAGATCACAAGGTCAAGAGATTGAGACTGTCCTGGCGAATGGTGAAACCCCATCTCTACTAAAAATACAAAAACTAGCTGGGCGTGGTGGCACTTGCTTGTAGTCCCAGCTACTCAGGAGACTGAGGCAGGAGAATCGCTTGAACCCAGGAGGCAGAGACTGCGTTAAGCTGAGATTGCACCACTGCACTCCAGCCTGGGTGACAGAGCGAGACTCCGTCTCAAGAAAAATAAATAAATAAATAAATCAAAACTTCCGACTCTTAACGGCTATCCTATAGGACATACAGCAAATGTGTTTTTGCCCTTTAAAGGCAGTGAGTCATGGGTAAGTACTTTCACTGGAGGCTGTGGAATAAGATCTGGCACAGAGTTTCGAACTTCCTTGGGATCTGACCATCTCCCAGACCATCCACGATGCACACATGGGATCAGAGTCATCCTCCTTAGGGCATCCTTCTCCCAAATGAATCCTTCCTTCTAATTCCTTTCCAGCATTTCACCTGACCAACACATTCTTTGACAACAAAAGATACATCCATATTACAAAAAGCGTACCCATGATTTGCAGAGAGCAATCTATAGGTAGGAGGGAGAGTCATATTTAAAAAAAAAAAAGTCAGAGAGTCACATGACCAGCGCTTTGTAAAAGACACTGCATAGGCCAGGGACGAAGGTGACACTGACTAAGGAAGAAATATGACAAGCTTTTCCAATGAAAACGCAGGAGCACAGCAGGAAAAGAAAACATGTTATGTTTTCTGTTTTGAAGTATTTAACTAGAAACACACAATTATGCAATTACATGACTAAGCTTTCCAGCAGGCAAATAATAACAAGAAAATAATGGCGTGGTGGCAACGGGTCTTCAGCAGGGTATAAAAGGGGTCACGGGCCCAGAAGGCTTTCAAACCCAAGAACTTCACTCTCCTGGAAACCCACCCAGATCCTCCAACTTCTGACACCATGGTCGATTCCTATTGTGGCTCCGTGTGCTCTGACCAGGGCTGCGGCCAAGACCTCTGCCAGGAGACCTGCTGCCCTCCCAGCTGCTGTGTGTCCAGCTGCTGCAGGCCCCAGTGCTGCCAGTCTGTGTGCTGCCAGCCCACCTGCTGCCGCCCCAGCTGCTGTCAGACCACCTGCTGCAGGACCACCTGCTGCCGCCCCAGCTGCTGCATTTCCAGTTGCTGCCGGCCCAGCTGCTGTGTGTCC